ATATACGGCTTTTGCTTCTAGGATGTAACTGTGCTGGCGAGACTCAGCTTCGGTTGTCTTGTTGCTTTAATACTGGATTGGGTGGAGTCTGCCATCCGACCACTGCATTAACATTGCTGCAAATCCGTTTTTGGATGCATCCGTTTGTAACTCAGATTTTGCTCCTCTGATATACAAATTCAAAACCTGTTCCTTTGTCAGCGCATTCTTCAAACTGTGAAATGCATTCATCTGAGGCTCAGTCGTTTGAAAACGAGCAATCTGGGAATACTTCAAGACAAATTTTTTGAAAAACCCAGTCAACCCCAGAAAAGCTTGGACTGCACTGACATTCTTCGGCACCGAAAACTTGATGACTGCTGCCGTCTTCTCTTGCTCAGGCCATAAGTTTCCGTTTTCAATGTTTTCACCCAAAAAGTAAATTCTTTCCTGCAAGAAGTGACTTTTCGCCACTTGATCTTCAAGCCAAACGATCCAGCTGTTTTGAAAACGAGTGCCATCTTTTCCAAACAATGTTCTGCAGTTTCGGCGTGAATTATTATATTATCCTTATATAAATGTTAAATATTCTTGTTCATCAGCTCTTGAAATACGTGGTTTATATAGCGAATAAAAACAGCCGGCGAGTTCCGTAACCGAAAAAGGGTTCTATTGAATTCCTAGAGTCCTGATTTGGTGATGAATGCTGTGTATTTCTTGCTGTCCTCTTCTACAGCAACGTGGAAGAAGCCATTCTCTAAGTCCATCACTTTCCCGGAACGAGAAAGCAGTCCTCCAAATCAATTTCAGTTTACGAAAATCAACGCATATACGACGAGTGCCATCCTGTTTGTTTACCAGCACCAGGCGGCTCGAAAAGTTTGATATAGATGGGCGTATAATTCCAGCAACTAACCATTCGTCGATCTGCTTCGATCCTTTTCTTCGGCAATGGCGAATCGACTCGGAGACTGACGAAATGGAATGATCTCGCCGCCTGGAACGTTTCGCAGCTAAACGGGAACCTCTGCTACCAAATCCGCTTGTAGTTTTTTATCAGCATAGACACTTCTTCCCTTGCAGGGAAGAAAACTTGTATCCGTCAAAGTATCAAGTCGTCACTTCGTTTACCTCAACATCAGCAAAAAAAAAACGACCAACTGGGCATGTGCTCTTCTTTCCCAGACCACGCAGCTTCGATTCAATTTTCTCCATGATAAAATTAGAAATTTTGTTGAAGATGAACTTTCTCAATACGGATACATCGGCTCCAGTATCTACCAGGCACTTCGCTTCGACGCTACTGGTATTGTCCTGCTTGTCGATTCCCATTTTTGAGGCGAGGAGCTTCCTTGTATTTTCGGCGATCGAACAGCTTTAAGTAGCCATTGCTCCGAAATTCTGACACCCACTTGCTTCTTCAAGTTTCTGGTTCTCGTTGTTCGGATCAGTCATTTTTAGATTTTCTACTGCCGACCTTGTGTAGTAAGGCTGCCTCCCTTTTACAACTGGTATCTTAGAAGGCTCCTGCTTTTTTGCCCTCTCACTCATTGGCCTTCGTAACTCGCGTTAGGACTAGCCCCCAAATGTGAGCTGAGTGGTTAATCTCAAATTGGTTTTTATACCCTGGCAGAGGGTATTATAACATTTCCGACCCTATAAAGTATATATATTCTTGATCAGCATCACTAGCAGAGTCCATCTAGCCATGTCCGTCTGTCCGTCTGATCGTCCGTCTGTCCGTCCGTTTCTACGCAAACTAGTCTCTCAGTTTTAAAGCTAAAACTTTCCCAAAAGTTGTCTTCCTATTGCAGGTAGTTTATAAGTCGGAACGAGCCGGATCGGACGACCATGGCATACAGCTCCCATACGAACAATCGAAAAACTAAATGAAAAAAAAATTATAACTTTACTGTTTCTTAATTTTTTTTTTTAGTTCTTCAACATATATTAGAATTACAGTTTGCATTCCATCAAAATGACTACATCATATGACTATATCATATAGCTCACATTAAAACAATAAATATATATAAAAAAAATTTTTTTTAATGTTACTTTTTTAATTTCAAATATTTTTTTTAGAAATTCTTTTTAATTAATTAATATTTAGATAGTTCAAAACTACGCTTTTAATTTTATTGAAATCGGAAAACGATATCATATAGCTGCCATAGGAACTATAAAATAATTGAGCTGCAAATCATCATAACCTTAATGTTTTTAAACAACATGTTTTAAACAGTCAATCATAATTTTAATGATTTCAATTATATTTAATTTTTGCAATAGCTGCAGGGGTATATGCATAGCATATAGCTGCAAGGGTATATGAACTTCGGCTTGCTGAAGTTTGCTTCCTTTCTTGTTTTTATTATGTTTATAGTAAATATGTAAAAGATACAGATGTTCTACCTTGTCGGCTTTTTCCCTGCGGCTTCACTTTTTCTCTGCTGCTTCTGCTGAATTCCAATTCTAGAACTGCACATTCTTCCATCATCTAAAATCAATAAGGTGTTCGATACTTTTCTGCTGCTGCATTACTGCTCCACTTTTTTCTGCTTTTAAACAGATGTACTGCTTATCCTGCTGCTTCTCTGCTAATATTCCGCTTATGTTACTTAACAATTTTACATGTATAAAGTTAAAATGATCTTGAATATATTCACAAGTTACTTGTAAAAACTCTACAATAAAGTCTTCTCAATAAGTTGCAACGATACAATATCTGACGACTACGTAATAGAAGCTTGAATTTCTTAAGATAGCGCCCGTGTTAAAGTGCTTTTCGTCATATACACAGCGGATATTCCCACGAACGAGCGTCTAACAACCACTTCTTTCAAATTTTGCGAAAACAGCACAATACATAAACAGACTATCTAGAAAAAAAGTTGGTTTTGCTGGAATAAAAATTGACAACTTGTATTTGAGAATCTAAAAATCAACTATTAAGCCCAGCAGTGCTTCAATATCCTGATTTCCTAATGTAGCTTATGGGGCAGTATTAAGTCAAGAAAGAAAGCGGAAAGCAATTACCCATTTCGTTCGCCTTAAAAACTTTACAATAAAACAAGAATTTACAGCCATTTATTAGGATATACATATATGGAAAGAAATTTTCATTTAGAACGGATCATAAACCATTATTTTACCTCTTCTCCTTGAAAAATCATTCGTCAAAACTATTTAGAATTAGATTAGACTTAGAAGAATACGATTTTTTAATATAACATATCAGAGGACAGGAAAATGCAGCAAACGATGCACTTTCAAGAATAGAATTAAGGGATATAAAAAAATTAGCAAATAACAATATACTTAAGGTTACACCAAGATTAAGTATATAAGTAACAAGAAAACAGGAAAACTCTCGAAAATCGACGTGTTGAAAAACCAAAAGTATACGAAGCAATAAATCCACGGGAAGTTAATAACTATGCATTCCTAAAGTTTAATAAAAAGAACTGTAGGATAAGAGGCCAGTGAACACAAAGTTGACAAATTAAAAATAATAATTCCAAAAAATGTGTTCTTACCTTCGGACCAATGAAAACCATTTTAACAGACATGGGGACAGAATACATGAATTCAGTATTAACATTGATATACATAATCGGACAGCACACCACCATAAAACTCTAGGCACTATCAAAAGATCCCATAGAACATTTGACGAATGCATTAGATCATATATAAATAAAAAAAGACAACTGGGTCGAATATATTCATATACATATATATACCTATTGCTTCAATATCACTACATTAAGTGTACACGGATACTGCCTATTTGAACTCAGTTTCGGAAAATACCAAGAAATTTCATATATTCAACTAATAGTATCGAACCTTTTTAAAATAAAGATGATTATAATGAGGAACTTAAATATACAATACAAAAGGAAATAATTAATTGAAAATTTTAAAGTAAAACAAAAAGAACAAGTAAAGAATTATATAGATAAATAAATTATAAAATAAAAAATAGTCTGTATAAATGAATATAATGATATTTCAATAATAGATACAACAAGAAAGTTCATATATCCTTACAGCTATTGCAATTATTAAATATTCTTTAAAACATTTGAACTATGAATTACTTGCGTACATATTTAAAAACATTGAAGCTATGATAATTTGCAGCTCAATTATTCGATTGTTCCTATGGCAGATATATGATATCTTTTCCGACTTTAATAAAATTAAAAGCGTAATTTTGAACTGTCAAATTTTTAATAAGTCAAAAAGAATTGACAAAAAAAATTAACAAATAGAAAAGATACATTTTTTAAAAAAGTATTTTTTTAGTATTTTTGTTTCCATAGGAGTATTATGTTAAAGTCGTCCGATTTTGATAAAATTTTAACTGCAATTTTAAAATATAAATCATATATATGTCGAACTAAAAAACAATTAAAATACAGCCTAGCTCGACTCTGATGCTGTTCAAGAATATAATTATAGTGACATATCCACAGTCCCACAGACTTAGCAGATGCCTACTTATAATTACACAGTACATGTATAATCATCATACCCTATTCTACCCTACAATTGTACAAACACATAACACATACACCTCATGCTACCCTACAACTATGAATCATTATCGAATGATAAGCATACAGTCATAGGACACCACAACTCCACATAAGTCCCAAGCAGTCGAGTAAACACAAGTCCCCAGCAGTAGACTAAACAACTTTTATTGTCTAAATATCCTGCCCCAATTTTCACACGCTCGAAGTTCGGACTCGATAGCTCGAAAACAAAATTATCAAAATATTTTTGACTTTAAAAGAAATCAAAGCATCAATAAAACCATCACAATCCATAATTAAGCTCTCTCTCAGAATCTTCGAGATTCACCCAAAAGTTTGAGACCGAGGCATGAACGTCAACCCTTGCAGTTAAATTAGTTAAGTTCAGTTTGAGACCTACAACGAATTGGTCGGTGCTCTTCATTATAAATAATCTTGTATTAATTCGGTTTAATAAAATAAAATAAATTTTTTAAACTTACGAATTATTCGAGCATTTTATTATATACTTTTTAAAGGTTCGAAAATGTCTCCGTCATTGCGTTGCAAACTTCTGACTGAAATTATAATACCCTCTGCAAGGGTATAAAAAAAAACAAAACGTACATGTACAAATCAAATAGTAAAAACCTATTCAAATAAACAAATAACATTTTTTTAAGAAAGGAGGGTGTAGCATATTTTAAAACCCACTGTTCAAATAAAACATTATCATACGGCTAGCCAAGACGTCAACGGCACTAAAATCATATGTTATAGTAAGTTAGGATAAGAACCCCCTAGTTATCTGGAGGAGTAATAAATGTGTAATCACAAAATAACTGTAATGTAATTAAACGTAAAACTCGGATACTATTTAAATTCGTTTAAGTGCTCTTCAAACACATATAACCCTTACCATAAGCTCCTATGTTAAGTTCTTCTATAAATACACCCCTATGGCCCAATAAATGTCACTCAGAGTCAAGTCATTTTGCCTATTGCTACACTATCCCTTGAGAACTATGCCGATTATTTCCAAATCAATTTTTTTATACTGATCATATTCCGTCTCTGTTTTTAAAGAAGTGGCCAACAGTCCTCATCAATTATAAGATGATGATCGCCACCGTTGGCGAGAGTCAAGTTTAACCAAAATTAAATACATAATAAGTTTACAACAGTAAAATATAAAATATATGTTTTTCAAATAACAAAGCGATGCACATAATTTGAATTGGTTCATGTTCGTTAATAACTGTAGAGTCAAAATCGTTGCCATCAGAGTTCTACGCTTCATTAAAATTAAGTGTTATTTTATAAATTTATATTATGCCTCGCCGTGGGCATCCTTTTTTACCCTATAAAAATACAATACATGAAAAAGTTAATTCCATAATTCAAGGCCAAAACATACCAACCTCGTTTTCTTACTCTTTGATTCCACAATTAAATTATTTGGTACTTGGAAAAGTCTTTCGCCACGCAATATTAAAACGTAAGTCAAACGGCAACACTGTGCGGCCATCTTTACTTGCTCTGCAATGCTGTTTTTGTCACTCGGGTGTATATACCGTGGTGGAAAAAAGGATGGAGCAATTATTGTAGATACGTTATGCAGATTCATTTTGTTGACATCTTTAAGATCAATGATATAATTTAAAAATTTCAGCAGGGAACGCAATGTGTTCCTGTTCTCGGGTGGAAGGAGTTGACATAGAATCGATAATGCACTTCTTTGATCCACTGGTGGAAGTGTGTGACATTGATAAAATAGTTTAATAAGCTCATTAGTTAGCAAAGGTTGGGGAAGTTCACGCAACCATCGCTTTAGAAGGGTACTGAGTTCGTGAACTGTAGCTGATCCAAAAAGATGAGCTAACTTTTCTGGTCGTTGATAAAAAGTTGATTCTAATTCGTTATAAAGTATTTCAGTCTGTAAGTAACAATATTATTATATTATTTTACAAGAACATTATATTAAAAACGTTTTAACCTTTTGCTTATGTCCCCCTATTCGTAGTATTCCTTCTTCTCTAGAGCCACGTTGCAGAAGTTCGGCAAGCAGATTTTCCAAAAATAGTGGAACTAACGTAGAGTCAGTTCCAGTAGCTTGCTGATCCCGACGTATGAGTGCGTTTAAAGATACACCAAAGAGACTACCCTCCTCTTTGCGACGACGCTTAAAAGGCTTTCTTTTGTCCAAAGAAACTTGGTTACGATCGAATATTGTGGCTAATTCTAACCATAGTGTTGTCTGTAAACGTTTACGGTCAATTTCGCTCATTAAAACTATGTCGGACCATAATTTTGAAGAAGTATCACAGTTATCTAGTGTATCCACGTAGTCTGTGCTAAAGGTATGTCGACAAATACTTTCAAAGCTTAGACCATTAAAAGGCATAGGATTAACACTTGTGCGCTCATTTTTTGAGTTTGGCAGCTCTAGATTATTTTTTTTGGTTAGGGAAATATCTATGCACTCATCACAAGAATCTCCTGATGATGTATTATTTTCATTTTGCGAATCCGCCAATTGTATTTTACGTGCATGCCTGAAGAAATACATAATTATACAATAATGCAACTGCAAAAAAAAATTAAAATACTTACCCAGCTGAACAAAATGGATCTGAGTCAGATCTATTTCGAGGCAAGTGAATGGTGCCTATTCGTGAATACCCAAGCAACTGCACACCATGAGCCGAATACAATGGTATATCACATCGCACATGTGAGCCTCGAAATATATCTGTAGAAGTTGAACTTTTAAGCGGCGCGCTGGGTGTTCTTCGCAAGTTCTGTTTAAAATATTTTCCTTTTGATTGATTTTCACTTCTACGGGCAGTTTCACCTTTGTTTTCAAAAACACTCACAAAGTTTGGTCTGTTAAAAAAAAGATTAGCTCAGGAATTTTAGTAAACAAAGACTGTCTTACGTAGAACTGGTTATCCAAGCTTCATCGACTTGTATGGAATCTAAAGAATCTGGAGTTGCACTGCGTGAACGTGTGCCTGTACTTGATTCCTTTTTAATAACAAAAATGTAACATTAAACAAATATTTAAAGACTATTTGGTTTAAAAACTATTTACATCAGAAAAATACGATTTACTTTTGCTTTTCGATTACACTGATAAATACGCTCGAAGTTTAAAGGTGTGCTCTCACTTGGGTTTTAATTTATCGAATCTTGAAGAAGGAGAAAATTATAGTGCCTTATGGTCTTATTGACAAGTCAAATTTATAATTTATAAAGTCCTTGGTTTTTTGGATAGTTGATTTTTATTAATTTCTTAAACTCACTTTTTAAAGAAAATATAAGAAGTTTGTGTTTTTTTCGATAGAAGTAAATGTTGGTTAATCGCTGGAATTAGTGTATCAACCAAAAAGGACTACATTGAAGAAAAAAAAGAAAGGAAGCAAGCCGAAGTTTACATACCCTTGCAGCTATAGCAAAAATTATATATTCTTTAAAACATCTAAATTTCGATTTATATGTGTATATGTCTAAAACAATTGACGCAATGATGACTTTCAGCTAAATTATTCGATCATTCCAATGGCAGCTATATGATATCGTTTTCCAATTTGAGCAACATTAAAAGCGAAATTCTGAATTAGACAACCACTACTATATCTAAAAGATATAATGGAAAAGGTAAAAAATAGAGAAGTTACAACTATTTTTAGTTTATTTTTTATTATATTCCGATTGCTCTATATTAAGTCCGATTTTAATAAAATTTTAACCGTAATTCTGAAATAACAAACCAAAACTATATCTCGAAGAACTAAAAATTGTTCCTACTGGTCAAAATAAGAAGTACGTAGGTATCAATTTCATTTGTTACGACGAAATTCAAATGTTATGAAATACAGGTCTGCAAATCGATTATATTTCGAAAAGTTAAAGTGTTGAAATGTATTTAAATATAAATAAACGAATATTGCCGCAAATCTTCAAAATTGAGGAAAAAGTCTTCAGGAAATGGCGATAAGTGTGTGTTTTGTTCAAAATGCATTAACACCCAAAGTTAATGTTGAATACGAGGACGGAAGCAGAAACCTTCACAATAAACAGACACCCGCATCGTAAGACATGCAGAAAATGCCTTTATGTCTTCCAAGATGATCTTACCACCCAAATGGGAAATGAAATTTCATCTGAAACATATAGAACATATAGCCCAAAATGACAATTTAATGGCGACAGTTTGCTTAATATCATATGAAATGGACCAAAGGTGGAATAATATTTTATGGTGCGATGAATCAAAAATAAATCTTTTTGGAAACGACTCCAGACGATATATAAGACGCTTAAAAGTTAACAAATTTGAGCCCGGTACACAAAGAAGACCGTTATCCATAATGGATTGGGGCTTTTTTCTTAGAATGGCGTTGGTCCTGTTCATCTCATTCCTGATACCATGAGCCGATATAAAAATAAGATAATACGACGTTATGCTACCATGTGCTGAGGAAACATGACCTCGCGATAGGTCTTTCAAAAAGTTGACACACCTTAAAGCTGGTCAAGGCTTGGTTTGCACAAAACCATGTGAACAATCGTTACCAACTATTTAATACTACCTGCAACAGAAAGACAACTTTTGGAAAAGATTCATGCAGATAGCTTTAAAAAAACGGACGGACAGACGAACGGACAGATGTCTCCTTCACTGTGTTGCAAACTTCTGACCGAAATTAAAAAAAAAAAAACCTTTTACCCGACTGGAAAAATTCCAGTACAGACCATGAAGTTAAAATGTTGGATTAGTTCAGAGTAACTTATTTTTATACCCGTAAAGTAAAAGGGTAAATTATGTTCTTTGAAAATTAGGTAACAGGGAGAAGGAATCGTTTCCGACTCTATAAGTAGACACTAAGTACATACATTCTTGATCAGGGTCAATTGTCAAGTGGATCTAGCCAAGTCCTTCTGTACGTCCGTATGAACGTCGAGATATCGGAAACTATAAAGGCTAGAAATTTGGGATTAAAATAAATTTCTGCCTTCTGAGTTACAAAAAAAAAATTTTACATTAATGTATAGGTACGATTTTCTAGAATTTCCACTCAAAATATATTAAAGAACGAAAGTTATCCCTTAAACGCGAAAGATTTCAAGCAAACAGTTTGACCAATTGTCACGAATTTGTCACAGTTGTGCATAAGGGTCTGACTTAGGTTCGTAACTAGAATTATCAAATTATTTAATTTAATTAAATTAACAATTTACAAAACAAATTGTAGCAAAAATAAGAAATTATTTTTTTTTTAAATGGCATAATTTTTTGTTTTTTTTAAATTAAAAGGCGTTCTAAAATTTGTTGACCAATCTTAAAGATATAACCAAACTAAAGAAAAAAATGTGATTTTCTTAGATTAAATATACCGCATATACCAGAGCTGATAGAATATAGCTGTAGTAGGAAACTATGCTTAGAAAATCCTTATTTATCATACTTATATACGGTTTGGCATGCACAAAACTTGTGTTGTCCTGTGAAACATAACAAAAATCAAGTATTTCTTTAAAAAAACTTTAATTCATCTATTAGGTTCAAAAAATGTTGTCCCAAAATACAATAATACTTCCCCTTGCCTAGGAGAACGGTCGTAGTTAGCTTTTTGAAAACTGTTCATCTGCGCTGATATCATCTGGAACATAATCTTCGTCAAGCCATTCGAGGTCTGCCAATCCTTCCTAATCGCCGCGAAAAAATTATTAAACAAATGCTTTTAGCAAAACAAAATATCTTTATAATATGAAGTCCTACCTCCCCATGTAACCCCATAAATAAATAAATATAAGGTAAACAAAAATCTTTCTAAAGCTTGATATAGACAGAGATATTGCATTTTTCATTATAATTTTCACTCCAGACTGTGTGCATGGGAAACACGTGTCCAATTCATCCTCTTTTGAGGGTGTTTGCATTACGTCGCATTATCCATTTACTTAAAATCAAAGCCGGCACTTGACCTCGAGATTGCTTTACCTATCACTGTATTAAAAGATTTTTATGATGAAACAAAAATTATTGTAAGATTTTATAACTCAGTGTAAACGGTCTTTTCTGACTTGCAAGTAAACTTAGGGCAGAAAAAAATAAAAAAAAATTATTTATAATTAAAAATAATAAAGTAATATATCATCTTACATCAAAATCGGGGAATAAATCTCGTATATCAGGTTTAGGCTTTGACCGACTCTTTGTGCGTCCTCGTACTGTTTGATTTAAAGCTCGTACACGTTGTTTAATAGCTTCCGCATGTGGCTTTGATAATTTAATCAGTAAAGGCTCCAGATCAGTTTTAGGAAGTTCTAACCCCTGAAAAACAAATAAAGAAAAAATTAATCTCGTTTAATGTATATGTTTTTTTTTAAATGTTGATTTATTTATACATTAAAATAATTTTAAAAGGTTTTGTTTTATTTATACATTGGAATAATTTTAAAAGTTGTCCTAATTCTGCAATTACAGGAAACGTAAATAAAAGTTACGAGTTTAAAAAAATTTAGCAAAAAAAAGCTTTTCAGAAAACAAAACAAAATTACGTCTTTTTATCACAAATCGGAATATACAACAAATTTATAAAATTTATTAAAACTACAGGGTGGCTCACAAAAAAGTTTAGTTTTCAAATAGCTATAAAACTGTTTTTTTTTTAAATATTTTATTGATTTTGAATAGCCCTTAAGCCTTGTGGTACACGTTATCAGTTTGCGCAATAGACGAGTGAGTGTTTGATGCGGTATGTTGTCGGGCTATCGCGTCATCTTAGAATGCTTTCTCCGATTGTAAGATGAAGACATCGAGATATCTCACCCAAGTACCATCAGAACGGAGTAAGGCAGCTTTTTAAGCTTAAGCCCAGAAGTGCATTTCCACAGTTCAAAGCCACGATCAGAATTTAAATCAATCGCACTAAAGTTTGCAGAGGAAGAAGTTCGACTTGACCTCGTAAATTGCTTTTCTCAATAAAGAATCGGCCCTTTTAAAACAGCTTAGTCTTGTACATGACGCGTACGCATCCAAAGTTTTCGTAACGCACGCTGGCATTAAGCGGGGAGGACTGTGGTGAGCGTTGTTGAGAATGCGAAAGTCTGGCATAATTAGACTTCTACTGGTTAGAATGAAGAGAGGATACGACTGGACCCCAGGCACTCTAAACAGGAATCGGGGCAGGAACAAATTTACTTATTTGTCACTTTTTTGAAGTTTTTGTCTTGCGCGGAAAATTATCTGCTAGAGAACCTCATTTGCACATTTTGGAGGCAGGAAACAGCAGGCGACTTTATTACGACGCACAGGAGGGACAATATAGACTTTCACACTGTGGGACCTAAGGCCTATTACTATCCGAAAGGGTTGTAGATATTACGAACCACGTAGATATTACGAACCATGTAGATATTACGCCACCACCGCCTATCTGAAATGGTTGGAGTGACAAAGTTCTTGAGAGACTCATTGTCACTACTCCATTTCGAACATTTTAGAGTCTTTGTAGGCTTTAGTGTGCTTAAATTCTTGACAATTATAGAGATTAATGTCAGATTTAATGTAACACTCCATATTGTTAGTCGAGGATTCAAGTTCGATAAAAAATATATAAGCATGGTGCCTATATATAGTTCTTACTCTATGCTTTCATGATTTGGTCAATGTCCGCCTTGATAAGGGACAGGCTAAACTAAAACTCGCGGGCACCTATCTTATATTCTCGTAGCAACACACGTACGCGGCAGTCGTCCTGCCAGTGAAGGCAAGGCCGGCAAACACAAATCGTTTAGGTAAACATGAATATGTTGTTCCAAAGAAACAACAAATTCAGAGTGCTCCGTAGAAATCGATACTAACACGTTGACATTAAAGCCGAAACTCGTCGAATAAAGTAACAAGAAACGAAGCAAAATTCGTCAAGCCAAAGTTTATTTCCCCTTGCAGCTATTGTAAATTTAAATATTATTTAAAAAATCTAAATATCGGGTTAAATGCACATATGTATGCTTAAATACATACAAGCTATGATGATTTAAAGCTCAATTTGAAAAATATAAACAAAATAGACTTCTTTCGACGCAGAATCCGTGATTTACCAGAAAGATGGACAATACTGTTCGATGACATCATAACTGAATGCCAATTTACATTTTATTATTATTTGTTTATAAATAACTTTGTTTAAAAACAGTTGATTAATATGAATTCTTTGCCAACTTATACTACTTAATTATTATATGTATGTATGTATCTAAGTATTTTGAATTCACATATGTATAAATCGCTCTTTCTACGTTTTACTCTGATAAGTCTGCATTTGGGCAGAGTCCGCACATTTTGGCGACCGTGACAGGACACTACATTCGGCAAGTCTCAACATAAATCCTATTCGCACACAGAATCATTCACTCTGCATTTGGCGGAAAAATAGATTCCAGCATCGCCAGACCGCCAGAATACTTCGTGTATTTCCGGCACGCATTGCACTTCATCGGCATATTGGCAGGGCATTTGGCATCATCGTTGGATGTCCGGAAGCATCGTTGGATCACCGGAATCATCGCCACACACATACTTGTGCAGCTGGTCTGCAAATAAATGAGCCCAAAAATTGAGTTACTCGCCCAAGCATCGGAGTGTTTCTTTTCCTCACTCAGAACAAATGGGCATTGTCATCATATTTGGATAAGGTATTGTTTCACTCAATGATTGCTCCACAATCTCACTCAGCTTGACAAATTCAACTACTTGCTTAGCTGTTTGTCTGGAGCCGCTCTAAGTGTCATAGCCACTTTTCATGTGTCCGAAATCAGTTATCCTAAGGCGTTAAAGAAGTTAAAAAGGTTTTGATTTTCATAGAGCACATTTCTAGCTTTTTCGATATTCAAATGATGAGGATTGTTACCGCAGTTAATCCGTCACTGTTAATATTTGGAGAGCAACGTTAAACGATCATCTGATTAGAAGCCGAAAGCAAGGCCCACACAGAATAGGAGAGCCTTTGTTGCGGAACAGGGTGGTTGTAAAAAATGTTCTGCAACTGATCACGCTCTCATTTAGTTCACTAGACTGGCAGGATAAATTTTATTTCGTCAATCAATCCGCTCTGTGCATTAATTATTTTCGCACCTGCCATTTGGCGAGCAGATATCCAAGTAGATCGCTATGTCGCGTTTGTCAAGGCTTACATCACACAGTTCTTCATAGAAGTGCTCATCCAGAGCAACCAACACTGATTGTTGCCCAGACTTCTCAGCATAAGCAGGAACCCACACATGCTATTTTTATGCTTTCGCGTCATTCGAGGCTTGCTTTAATTCCTTCAGCAGTAGTGTTGATTAGGGATAAGTTCGAAATATTTCAGCCAGCCAGAGATTTGCTTGACTCAGGCCCTGAAATAAATTTCATCTCTGAAGAGTTGGTCAATCTCCCTCAGCTCAGATTCGAAAGACAGAAGTATGACATTTCTGGCATAGGCGATGACAGAACGCAGAAGAGATTTTTTGTCTAAACGACTATTCGATCACGACTATCAATAAATAAATGGCATTTACAATTCGCTGTAGCGAAGACAATATCGTTTAATCGGCCAGAGCGTTTCGTTGACACTTCACAGTGGAACATATCTACAGAGACTGACCTTGCAGATCCAGGATTCTACATGCCTCACAAGATTGAATTACTCATCAGCACACAGGAGTTTTTTGATTTACTTTCAAAAGGCAAAATTTCTCTGGGACCTGGCCTTCCTTGCCTGGTCAATACTGTACTTGGTTGAATCGTTGGCGGAAAGGTTTCTGAAATTCCGCAATCACAAATCGTCACATGCAACATGGCACGTTCCACGGAGCAGCAAGATGCATTAGAAAGGTTTTGGCCAATAGAGGAGTTTGATTTGAACAATAATTGTTTCACCGTAGAAGATGAACGTTCACCGTTCGTATTGAACGGCAATATTTGGCAAACACAAAGTTTCTAACATCTTGACGGGTTCAAGTTTGCTTGCCCTTTAAAGAGAACCCTCACAGGCTAGGAAAGTCTTTTGAAATTCCCAAATCCCGGTTTTTGGCAGCCCGAACTAGATGTGTTCTGTTCAGTCGTCCAGGCTAAACTTTTTCGTCGCCAACCGGATTTCTGAGATGCAATCAACCACTTCAAACATTATTTGGAGGCACTTTCCGGGCAAGGACAATCCCGCGGACATAGTGTCAAGAGGCTGTGCAGCATCTGAGCTTATGGAAACTACAAGGTTTGGACCAAGCTTCTTACGTCAACCCTCATCTGGATGTCCTCAACCAGTAACAAATTCTCAGGAAACCGAAGAATAGTTGGAGCTGCGAAAATCAACAGTCCTCACATGTACCGATAGTGGCAACAAAGAAGATGTATTCGATTACATTATCATCCTGTCGGCGCATTTTGCAAGTCATAACTTTTGTGTTGCGCGTCTTCAATCGAATCAAGGCCAACAGGAAATTGAAAGTAGTCGATGTAATTCATACATCAGCAACTGAATTGCAATTCGCGTTCAAGCACATCGTGTCACATATTCAGCAGAAGACCTTTTTCAACGAAACCCAGCAGCTCAAGGAAAACAAGATTTTAAAACCCGAATTTCAAAAGCTAAATCCATTCCTAGCAGCGACTGACGGATCAAACCGTTCTATAACACTGTTACGTGTAGCAGGCCGCTTAGCCAATTTCACTCAATGCCAAACTTCCTGTTCTTCTTCCAAAGGATCATTGCTTAACATTGAAATTTGTTGAATATCTGCACTGGCAGCACATGCACGCTGGACCAAAGGCTCTCATTGGAATTCTGCCACTCCAGGCTTAGATCGTAAACGCCAGAGAAAACGTTCGAAAGATTTTACAGCACTGGACACACTGTTACCATTATAAGCCGCGTTTAATGGAACAAATAATGGGATCACTTCCAGGTGATCGCATTCAATCACAACGACCTTTCTATGTGTTATGTATAAGCAAAATGTATTCTCTCTACCTCACACATCCAAAACTATTCTGCATTCCTTCGTTCTATAAGCACACACATGTATACACACACACGTTACGTTACTCGTATTACCAATAAAGGAGTTCCCTGCGTTAGCGGGAAGTGGCGCAACAACGAGGCCTTCCGATGGACGCAACGGCGGAAATCGACTGCCTCCAGGCGTTCGACAAGCGACCCAAGGTTGGTCGAACGCCCCCACCATAAGCGCCGCCGGTTTTGGCGGGGGACATGTTCCCATTGGAGCGGGCTGGCGAAAGCGAGACGCCAAAAAGGGGCAGGGATGCTATGAGCCCTTCAAGCCCCGAGA